TTTTCCTCAACAAGACCCACCTCGTGGTGCCTGCATTTGCAGAGAAGCTTGGAAGCATCTCTGGTCTCTCCTTACAGCAAATTCGCAAACGTCTGAAGCCTCTTCTTGACCGAGACCAGTCCAACCCTCCACTTCAGTTCGACGCTATAGAGATGAATGTATTTGGGGCCTGGTTGCTTACACTGCAGAAGGCTGATGGCAGTAACCTCAGCTTCTCCGCGATCAACACTCACAGAGCCGGTCTATTTAATCTCTATCGCGACTACGGGCACGAGATGTCACCGGTAATGGAGAAGGAGATGCGTCAGTACTTTAAAGGCCTCAAGCGAGAGATGGCTAGTGCTGCTGCCCGTGGAGAAGCGCGAGTGAAGACTGGAAAGGACCCTCTATCGTTCGAATTATACCGCTATCTATGCGAGCGGCTACTTCAATGCTCATCTAAGGACATGATGTTTGCGCGGACGTACATAATTATTGCCTGGAATCTGATGTGCAGATCGGCGAACGCTTTTAGTATTCGTTATATTCACATCGAGTGGAGTGGTGACGCGTTATGTGTCTACTTTGCACACCAAAAGAATGACCAGGAAGGAAACAGGCCTCGCGACCCTCGGCACATTTATGCCAATCCTTTGAAGCCAGAGTTATGCCCGGTGCTCGCTATAGCCACGTTCTGGGCGACATCGTCTTTTATTGGAGATGACCGCCTCTTCCCGGGTAGTAACCAGTATGAACGTTTTCGCAAGTGCCTGCAACGACTGCTAGAGAGTGAAGATGTTGCTCATGAGCTACGCCGACGTGGCGTTCACAAGGATGAGCTAGGTACGCACTCGATGCGTAAGGGAGCTGCGACTTATTGTGCATCTGGATCGACGGCATGTCCGTCATCGACGTCTGTACACCTTCGAGCAGGGTGGTCATTGGGCGGAGTACAAAATACATACTTACGCTATGAGTCAGCTGGCGACATGCACGTTGGCAGAACCGTGTCAGGACTGCCACCAGATAGCCATGAATTCGCTATGCTCCCGCCGCATTTTGGTAATCGTGACGCTGACGTTGAAGCTGCAATTGAGTGCGTATTTCCTGAGCTTCCTACAAACCTCACATACGTTGGTGAGTTTTGCTTAGCCTCACTGGTCTACCATGCACCGTATTTACGAACTCACCTGGACCCCAACCATCCCTTATTTGAGACCCCGCTATTTCAACACCCAAGCTTGATTGCGGATCTGTCTCGCAAGGTAACTTGCAATGGTAATCGCCTGCAAGCTACGGGGATACCTCCTCATGTAGCCATATTGGAGAAGATGAAGTCACTGCTTGACGCCAATCTGAAGACAATGGAGCGCGTTGACGCCACTCGAGTGGCTACAGTTACGGACATAATGCGCGAATTGGAGAATCGCGCCATTGGCGCTGGTACAGTAACGTTTGATGGACTGGACGCTGCGCTAAAACGATGCCTAGATACTGCTGGTGTCACTGAACTCATTAGCAAACTCAACGTTGCCCCAGGGGATGCTTCTGTGGTGCCGGAAATCCCTCCAGGCCAGCCTTCTACTCCTTGCTTCTTTTGGGATGGCCGATTCCGCCGCGTTCCGGCTGACTTCAAGCTCTGTGAGTGCTCCGTTGAAAAGCTGTGGGTGCTGTGGCAATGTGGTAACACCAGCAAAAACATACCACCTCCTCCGAGTGTTGGACGGCCGTGACATGCCGACCCGGAATCTGCAAAAGCGTCTTAGCGACGTACGCTACCTGATGAGTATAGTTGAGGATAGAGCAAAGCGTACCGGAGTATACGGCGTTCACCAAACCGTCGAGGATGCTGTGAAGACGTTTAGTGCATGCGCTGACAGCGTTGACGTACCCCCTCGCACCAGCACGGCCAGGAAGCGGCGAAGAGGCCAGCTCAGCTGGACGACTGTAGTAGCACTGAATCGGAAAAGCCGCAAGTGCAGCAGCGACAGCTAACTCAAATTTTTAGTTTTCTTTTTCTTGTCTTTTGATTGGCTATTCTACATTCATTGTCAAAGTCCTACCAATGTCCTATAAAATCCGTCTAACAATCATTTTTACATAAAAATGTGTGTTAAATTATATAAA